GATTCTCAGTTAGGAAAGACAATTCTTTTAATATATATATATATAAAAAAAAAAAAAAAAATAAAAAAATAAAAAGCGGGTTGAAATGAAAGATTGAGAAAATTAAATTAAACGACAGAATCAATCGGTAAAACAGATGGGAAGGAATAACTATTTCTTTCCATTCTGCATAATATAATCTGACAAATATTATATGGTCTGAAAGTAGGACCTTCACACAGTGTAATAGTTATTATGCGTGTATTCTGAATCTGAAACGAGTCGCAATCATAGTTTTGTGTTCTAATTAATTTCGTGTATGTATATCGACGTTACATTGTGACACAGAAGAAATTAATAACAGAGTTTCGCCACACAGAAAAGAACGGAGGAAATATTTCTCTTAGCAATTTGTTTCTCATGCTGCGTGTCTACAAGTTTCGTTTCACTTTTGCCAAATACCAATACATTCACTACCATTGTTTAATTCGTTCTTTTTTATATCTATTCTATCCGATTACCGATAATTTAATGTCTTATTTTAAGCGGTGAAATATCATTGATGAAATTTCTTAAGATTTTGCAGAGAAGCATTTGGTTGTGATCTTTTTCTTTCCGGAATATTATTATATCTATTATCATTATTATTATATTACCAGTATCGATTAAAATAATACTGAAATTACAAATAAGATTATAATATTATGTAAGTCTAAGTCACTTAAGACTGAAAATATTGTGAGTAGAAATGATTTAATACTCTTTTATAGGAAAAAAGTTGAATTGATTAATACATTAAAAAAGTATAAAAAAAGTTCGGTCTAAAAAAAAAAAAGTTAATGTTCATTATTCATATATGTTCAGACTCTCTATATTAACCTATAAAAAATCAATGTAAAAATCAATGTAAAATTATGATCTTTATAATGTTACTAATTTTCATTCAAAACAATTTTAATCGGTATAATGAATCATTTTGAATAATAATTGATTTTCCAGACTTAGGTGATTTATTCTGTACAGTATCCAGTTTTCAAAGTATTATTATTATATGCTATAATCTGCTTCTAAAATAGGTACCCCCAACCGAGAAAGTTATGTCCGACACGTATAACTGCACGCTTGGACCACCATGGATAAACGTTACGCTTTCGAAGATGTATAAAAACGAGAAGAAATTGCTATACCCTGTGAACGTAGGCCGTAATATAGCGCGTGAATCGGCGCCGACGTTCTATGTGTTCGCCAGCGATATCGAGCTTTATCCGAATCCAGATTTGCCGGCAAAGTTCCTCGAGATGATCAGAAGGAGAGACCAGCCCGCCCTCTATAAGCCTAATCCCAAAGTTTTTGTACTATCCATCTTTGAGGTAGACGAGAAAAGTCAACCGCCTAACAATAAAACACATTTGGTAAGTCGAGATATCAATTGTTTGCTAATGCACTTATAATAATTTCTCGATATAAATTTCTAAGTTAATCTAAATAAATAAATCTAATAAGTATATAAACTAGTTTCATATCAATCCAACCTTACTTATTTGTGCATCTCTGATTTACTATTTTATGAAATAAAAACAATTTTTAATAATCAAATGATAATCCAAAACGGAATTATTAGTTAATATTAATAATATGATTTGAAAAAAATATTAAAAAGAAAATTAATAGATATTCATTGTTCTGTTTAATCTTCATATGGAATCGTACTTTTTTCTACGATATGTGTTAACCTTTACGCTGTGATATTCGAACATAGTTTGAACACCGCTGCATTCAATGAAGAATTCGATTTCAATCCATGTATTATGATACTCGACAATGAATAAAGAAAAATTAAAAAAAAATATCGAAAGATTTTTTCTTTTTAAAACAGGCACTTAAAGAAATTATATAACGAAACATTTTTTTAATTATTCAATGAAACAATCTTCGTATTATTTAGACTAGAAATCACAACTTGCGGTGCATTCTTCCATTTGACATTTAAGTTGAAAACTGAACTTGAAGGTAATTAAACGCATACGAAAGAGCACAATGACGGCTGCATAATATCCGACAATGCGTTAAATGGTATGAATGCGAGGGTCGTTTAATCAGTGGCGCTTCCTTTGACCGTGGACCTTGATACGTATAATTAGTGGCATCACTGTGAAATGTAGCTGGCCGCTGGCCGCTCTTCTATGAAATATTCAATTCAGTTCCGCCATTTCTATGCACTATTCAATTTCATTTCATTTTTCGAAAACTAACCTTATTTTATTATCATGGCATACCCACATGTATATGCTCTTGCTTTTTTCTCATATCACACACAAAGTACCGTGTTTTAATTCCAATGGTAGAATGTTGAATCGATAAATTTTTTTTTTAATCAATTTTTAATCAATTTTTTTAATCATTATGCGAAGATCACTTTCCAAATTCTTGAAATCGTTTATACATTTTTATTAGATTATTATAGTGTATTATTGACTCGCGAAAAAAATGAGACTTTAGAAAAAAAATAATTCGTTTATATACTGGTTTTTGTATATATATAAATATTTCATATATTTTATCAAGATTAATAATTTTACAGGTTCAGATGTTGAAGTCTGGTACGGCTATTCCCTTTCATAAAAAATTGTGTTCTGGCTGTCACAATGTTCCTCGAAGTAAAGAGTGGCAAGAAGCGCCGGAAACCGAGGATCTTCACGTGTTTCATGTCGGCAAAAGGACTGGCAGTTTCGTTCACTGGGAGCCGATTTTCATCGGGACCAATAATGATCCTCTGTACGATGAGAGGCTTAGCTGGGAGGGGAAAAGCGACAAAATGACACAGGTGCAGATGATTTCCGGCTTTGAAATAATCGTAACCTAGTTTCATTTTGTCATAAAATTTTCAATCAAATGTTCGATCGAAAATTGTTTTCAAAATCAATAATATGATGCAAAAAATAATATAAAACGCTTAAATCCAACATATATGAATTAATCTTGAAAATTATAAAAATTAATAGCAAAAAAAAATGATAATAATAATATAATAGTCATTATTATCCATAATTTTTAAATAATTATTATTAATAATAATTATTAATAATGATAATAATTAATGAGAGTAAAAATTAATGTGAAAATTCGTGATTTAAAAAATGAAAAAATAAAAAAAAAATATTTAAAAAGAAAAATAAAATAAAAGTATAATCTTTTTAAACAAGTGATTTTTGTGACTTGTTTTATATAAAATGAAAAAAAGAAAAAGAATCAAAAAAATGTTCATGCAATATTCATAAAACATTCTCTTTAATACGATTTCTCTAAAGAAAGCATCATTAACCCAGTTTAACTTTCGTTTCAGGGTTACGCGTTGTGCGTTCTCGATTATGATTTTCTCATCTTGGATAATGCATTTCTGGTCCATCGGCCGGGTATTAAAATCTTCAAAAAGGATCCTCACCGTGAAATGTTGACAGTTAAGACAAACGCATTGATAAGAAAGATCATCGTTCCAGAATTGAAGATCCTTTATGGGATACGAAAAGGTTGTGCCGTGTAGCCCGTAGTGAAACGAGCACAACGTGTGCTCCACAGGTGTATTCCGATCATCAAATGGCACCTGAAATCATTTTTGACACCTAAAATATCTGAAGCTCAGCATAATATCAATGGCGCTCGCAGTGCCCAAAAATTTGGTTTAATCACATATGGAGATCATGTTCATCCGCCATTTCTGAGCATTTTCGGTGTCGAGACTAATTTAAAGAACGTTCATTGCGATTAAAAAATGTCGACGGTTAAAAATGATGCCAATTGAATGGTGCCGAAAATAATAGTTTGTTGGTTAGGTTTTAAAAGATAACCTTGCAAAAATTTCAGCAAACTTCTCCTATGATCGTTAGTTCCTGTAATTCCTCTTCATTTCTCATCAAGCTGACTTCTTCATCTTCTTTGCAGTACAAAAGTGTGATGGCAGCATAAAAAGAAAAGAAAGGGAATACTGACATAAAATGGGAATCAATTTATTGAAAGATTCAGAATCGGTAGTATA